GTGTGTGTTGACGGAGACTCTTACCAGCCTCTTGCTACCTTTACTGCTGAGCCGGGCTCGGGTCTCTACACTCTTCACACTGGCCCGCGTGCGCCGCAGCAGCAGCCGCAGCAGCAGCAGCAGCCGCAGCAGCAGCAGCAGCAGCAGCACCAGCAGCAGCACCAGCGGCCGCACCAGCAGCCCCCCCTACTGCCACTGCCCCCGGTTCCCCCCCCCGTTCGGGTCCCCGCGTCTCACCAGGTTGCTACGTCCCCCCAGGTGTCTGTGTCGTGTCAGGTTCCTACGTCTGTTCCGGTCGCTGCGTCGTGCTCCTGCCGGTCGCTTGCCCACCCCACCGTTCTGTGGCACCACCGGATGGGGCACCCGTCCCTTCCACGTCTACGCGCTATGTCTAGTCAGCGTCTTGTCCTAGGCCTCCCACGTGTCTTGCCGTCGCTGCCGCCTTCGCCTGCGCCGCCGTGTCGTCCCTACGTCGAGGGTAGGCTGCGCGCCACCCCTCACTCCTCCTCCCTTCGTCCGGCCACCGAGCCTTTTGAGACGCTTCACTTGGACGTCTGGGGCCCAGCCCCTCGTCTAGGCCCTGAGCGTGAGCGTTACTTTCTGGTGGTAGTTGACGACTTCTCCCGCTACACCACAGTGTTCCCTTTGGCGAAGAAGTCTGAGGTGACTTCTACGCTGATCAGGTGGTTGCTCACCACTGAGGACACTCGTGGTCGTCGTGTCAGTTGTCTCCACTCCGACCATGGGGGTGAGTTTTGCTCCGGCATTCTCGCTGGATTCTGTCGCGAGCAGGGCATTCGTCAGTCCTGGACGCTTCCAGAGTCCCCACAGCATAATGGGGTTGCTGAGCGCCGCATAGGCCTGGTCATGGAGATCGCCCGCACCTCCCTGACTCACGCCTGTGCCCCCCATTTTCTGTGGCCCTACGCGGTCAGGTACGCCGCGCACCAGCTGAACCTCTGGCCACGTGTCTCTCGACCAGAGGTTTCACCGACCAGTCTTTGGACAGGGTCCCCTGGTGTTGCGTCGCGGTTTCGTGTCTGGGGGTGCTTGGCTCTTGTCCGCGACACCTCCGCGGACAAGCTCTTGCCTCGTGGCCGTCCCCTATGTCTTCCTTGGTTTCCCTGAGGACTCCTCTGACTTCACCTTTTACCACCCTCCCTCTCACCGGTTCTTTGACTCCCGTGACGTCCGTTTCGAGGAGTCCACTCCGTACTACGTCAGGTACCCCAGTCGAGGTCTCCTGGTTCCTCCTCCCCCCCTCTTCCTGACTGCCGTTCCCCTTCCTGCTCCCCCGGTACAGCCTCCCCCCCCTGGTCCAGCCCCGTCAGGTGTGTCCCAGGCTACCCCTCCTCCTTCGGTAGCCCCTCTGGTACAGCCTCCCTCCCCACAGTCCTCCTCGCAGCGTGCCGCTGGTGCTAGCTCTCGAGAGGTTGGTGCGGCGCCTGTTCCTGTACCGGTTTCTGGTTCTGGGGGTGCTGGAGTTGGAGTTGGCCCTGGAGTTTCTGGTTCTGGGGGTGCTGGAGTTGGAGCTGGGGTTGGAGCTGGAGTTTCTGGTTCTGGAGTTGGAGCTGACCCGGTGGGTGCAGAGGACTCTTGTCGTCCGGGAGCTGGTGCTGGCCGCGCGGACACTGGGGGTACTGCGTCTGGGGGTGAGGGTGCGCCTCCTTCGGGTTCAGGTGAGCCTGGTTCTGGAGCTAGTGTTAGTGCTGCCTCTGGGGGTGGTGCGCCTAGTTCTTCTGAGTTGGACTCTGGAGCTGCCGCTGCTTCGGACACTACTCCACCCCCCCACCCCTACCCGACTAGGCACCAGGCTCGTGTTCGCCGTGCCCGTGACGAGCAGCTGGAGTTGGAGAGAGAGGAGAGGGAGTTACAGCGGCTGGAGGAGCAGCAGCAGCAGCTGGAGCCGCAAGAGCAGCAGCAGCAGCAGCAGCAGCTGGACCCGCAGGAGTAGCAGTCCCAGCAGCAGCCGCGTCCGCAGCAGCAGCAGTCGCAGCCGCAGCAGCAGCAGCCACTTCCTCCTCCTGTCTCGGGTCTTCGGATCCTTGGTCTCCCCTCCCCTTCTCCTCCCTCCTCCGCCTCTCCTCCTGTCTACGGTCCCACGTTTCCTCCTCCTGACTCCTCCCCCGCTGTTTTCCCCAGTTCTCCGCCTTTGTCCTCTCCTCCTCCGTCTCGTTCTTGGTCTACTCGTCGCTCCCCTCGTGCTCGTCCCTCGTCTCCTGTTCCCTTCACTGAACTTCGTACTGCCTTCCTTCTTTCTAGTCCACCTCGTCCGTCTCAGTCTGTGCTTCCGTCTCCTCCTGAGTCGGCCCTCACTGTGTCGCTCCCTACTCCTGTCACTGACTACTACCGCACGTACCGTCCTGTTCTCTCTCGTGTTCTCGCCTCTCTTGTTACTCACCCTCGTGCCTCTGTGTCCTCTGTGTCCGCTCTTACTGCCGCAGTTACTGACTTTGCCTCTACCCGCCGCCTTGACTACGCCACCACGCTTGTGGCTGCTCCTCCTACCAGTCCTCTGGCCGTCGGGGGTGTGTCTGCCCTTGGCTGTGACGCCCTAGAGGACAGGCAGTTTGAGCTAGAGTTCCTGGCGGCCGCTTCCCCTCATCTCTGTGCCATGCTCCTCGCCCCTGAGGGTGACCCCGACGCCCTTCACATTCCGACTCCTCGCACTTACGCTGAGGCAGTGTCAGGGTCCTTGGGCCTCTCAGTGGAGAGCTGCCATGGACGCAGAGATGGCCTCCTACAGATCCACAGGCACCTACGTCGATGAGGTTCCCCCCCCTGGGGCGAACGTAGTCGACGGCATGTGGATCTACAGGGTGAAGCGGCCACCGGGATCTCCCCCGGTCTTCAAGGTGCGCTACGTGGCTAGAGGTTTCAGTCAGCGCGAGGGAGTTGACTTCTTTCAGACCTTCGCACCTACCCCGAAGATGACCACTCTTCGGGTGTTACTACACGTAGCAGCACAGAGAGACTACGAGTTACACTCTCTCGACTTCTCCACTGCTTTCCTTCAGGGCAGCCTACACGAGGAGGTCTGGTTACGTCGTCCCTCGGCCTTCACTGGCACTTTCCCTCCTGGGACCCAGTGGAGGCTGAGGCGACCTGTTTACGGTCTTCGCCAGGCCCCTCGTGAGTGGCACGACACTCTGCGTTCTACCCTCTCTGACCTTGGGTTCCAGCCGTCTTCTGCCGACCCGTCGCTGTTCGTTCGTCGTGGCTCCACACCGTTCTTTGTCCTGGTCTACGTCGACGACCTCGTTTTCGCCACTCCGGACAGGGTTGCTTTGGCAGACGTGAAGTCCGAACTGCAGAAGAGACACACGTGCACTGATCTTGGTGAGCTGCGCCACTACCTTGGCCTGCAGATCACCAGGGACAGAGCCGCTCGCACCATTACACTCTCACAGTCACACATGGTGCAGCAGGTCCTTCAGCGGTTCGGGCTTCAGCACTCCACCGTACAGCGCACACCTCTAGCTGTTGACCACAGACTCACTGGTCCCTTTCCTGACGAGCCGTTTGAGCCTAGTGGTCCCTACGCAGAGCTTGTGGGTTGCCTCATGTACCTGATGACTTGTACTCGCCCGGACCTCGCCTTCCCTCTCAGCATCCTTGCGCGCTTTGTTGCGCCAGGGAGACACCGTCCTGTTCACTGGACGGCAGCTGTGAGGGTGGCGAAGTACCTAGCGACTACATCAGGCGTGGGGCTAGTTCTTGGAGGGCAGCAGTCTGTCGTACTCACTGGTCACTGTGACTCCTCCTACGCTGACGACGCTGAGACTCAGAGGTCTACTCAGGGGTACTGTTTCAGTCTGGGTTCTGGAGCTGTTTCCTGGCGTTCCACGCGCTCCTCTTCTGTCTCGACCTCTACAGCTGAGGCTGAGATTTACGCTGGTGCCATGGCGGCACAGGAGTTGCGGTGGTTGACCTTCTTGCTCGCCGACCTTGGTGAGCGGCCGAGCTCTGCACCGACCTTGTTTACTGACAACAAGGCGTCGATCCTCCTCTGTCGTGAGCCGCGACTGGAGAGCAGAGTGAAGCACATTCACGTCAGGTACTTTCTTCTGCGAGAGTTGCAGAGGCGTGGACAGGCTCGCTTCGAGTTTGTAGAGTCCGAGGCCAACACTGCAGACATCTTCACCAAGGCGCTTCCGCTTTGTGACCACCAGAGGTGTTGTGTGCAGTTAGGCCTTGTTGACACAGGTTCTAGTCATGCGTAGACTTGAGTTTATTGCCTGCTTCGTCTGTACACTTACTATATATACTTGTGATCTCTTGGACTGGCCTTGTGGCCACTGTTGCTTGTGCTCAGAGTGTGTGGTGACGTTGTGATCCACCCTGAGCTTTGTTTTCTTTTGGACTGGTCTTGTGACCGTACTCTTTTTTTTTTTGTTTTTGCTAGACACCCCTCACTTAGGCTATGGGGGTGTGTCAAATGTTGTAGCCTGTAGTGAGGTTTGTCTTAGGGGGTACAGAAGTTAGGGTTTGTCATATGTACCCCAACCAACATCAATGCAAAACCCCATTCCTCATTCTGACAATACCTCACCGTGTGCAGCCCTGACAAATCAGGGCAAATTCTGATTTCCTAAAAACTGCCCTGAGGCCTCAGTGTACCCCCAAACGAATCTGAGGGCCTGTCAGAGGGTCGTCAGAGGGTCGTCAGGCTTGACCCGTTTCCGCTGGGATATTCCCCCAAATGTCTATGAACTAGCAGTATACACAGCCCAGAGTCTGAAACGTCTGGTACAGTGACAGGAAGAAATTACGTAAAAACGTTACAACTTGATGCATTGCCCGTACTGGAGCTACCTACAATACGCTCGCCACCCTTTGGAGAGACTCTTTACTGCAGCAGGTACCTAACGGCATAGAGGACGCACCAGGCCACCTAGCAAACTGCAGCTTCACAGGTCTCAAGGGCTGCTGTTATGGCGCATATAGCAGCAGAAACGCACGAAGTGTCGAGAAATCATCAGCTGCACTCAACTCCTTGACTACCTAACGACATAGAGAATGCGCCTAGCTGCCTCAGGCCCAGCAGCTTCACAGAAGGTCTTAAGGGCTGCTGTTATGGCCCGTGTGGAGGCAGAGGAAAGCCAGCCCATCTCCAGCAGTTGCTGGTGGTGGGATGGACAGGGAAAGATTGGAAGAGAGTGGGGGGGTGGGCAAGATGGGTAAATGGACTGGGACTTTGAAAACACCAAATAATATGTCAGAATGGAAGCAGAGGAAAGCGAACCAGTCTCCAGCAGTTGCTAACGGTGGGGTGCACATTAGAACGGGGAAGAAACTGGTGGTTGTGAAGTGGTGTATAGCAGGGAGGGTTATCTTCCATCTACTCAGAAGTTGTATAAAACGAATTATTCAACGATCAAGACAGGAACCACTGAATCCAACTAACTGAGCATCTTGCTTTGGCGTGGATGCTGAAATGCTTGGCAGCAAATGGCAGGCCATCTCGCATACGATAAAAGGAACCAGAACCCTCCCCCTCTTCTTCCCCACCACCACACTCACACTCAGACACAGCAGCTGAATTTCACAGCTGCCCCCACACTCACCGAAAAGCTGATCTGCAAGGAGCCGTTGATAAGCAGTGGCATGGCCATCACTGTTGCTGCCACCTCCCTGCTTCTCTCCTGCCGCTCCTCCTCACTCGACTCCTCGGGCCATCTCTCCCCTCCTCCTCCACACTCACTCCCACCCGCTTCCCCCCCTCCTCCTACCATTCCTCTCCGCCAGTCTCCTTCCCTTCCCGCATCAACCTCCATCCCATCTTTCCCCCCCTGGCCCCCTTTCCTGTCCTCTTGGGCCCTGTACACACCTCCCTGCACTCCATACTCGTTAGTAGTATCCTCCCTGCTACTCGTCTCGTCCAACCCACCAGCCCCTCTCTCAGCAGCAGCCTGTAGTTCTCGTGCCTCTGCTCTCTCTGCATCGGTCTGTCCCCCCCCCACCCCTGTATACCCTCGCACTGCCTCTCTCACTCCCTCCTCTCGCCCCTCCCCCACTGTAGCCCCGTCCCCTCCCATGGAAGAGAGAGGCTGATGGTGCGAGTTTGTGAGAGAGGGAAGGCTGGCCGGGGTGTGGGGGCGTTTTGGCAGCGCGGAGGAGAGAACAACGTAGGGGGAGCGGCCGAGGAGAGGGCGAGCAAGGGAGAACGGAACCCACCTGATGGGAAGGGGGGGGCGGAGGGGGGGTGTGGGGGTGTTTTGGCAGTGCGAGGAGGAGAGAACAACGTAGGGGGAGCGGTCGAGGAGAGGGCGGGCGAGGGTGAAGGGCACCCACCTGATGGGGAGGAAGGGGGGCGGGGGGGTGGGGGGACGGTGTGGGGGTTTGGTGAGAAGGTTGGGCAAGGAGAATTGGGGGGGAGGTTGGAGGGGGTTTTACGGGAAGGGGAAGGGCTGTCCTCCCCTTGAGAGCAGGAGCGACGGCGGCGCAAGAGGGTGTTTTGACAGAACCGAGGAAGGAACAGGATAGGGAAAGTGATTCAGAAGAAAGCAGGCAAGGGCGACGAGTACCCACCTGATAAGGGGAGGCGAGGCAGGGGGAATGAGAGAGAGGGGGGATGGGCGGGGAGATTTTACAGGTAGGTTTGGGAGGAAGAGGTAGGAAGCTTTGCAGGTGGAGGGTAGTGTTAGGGGTAAGTGCCACAAGAGGGAGCTTGGGGGAGGAAGGAAGAATGGTCCAATTTACAGGCTAAAAGAACTCACAAGTAGCGCAGAGGGCAGAGCAGATCCGACGGTGCATACGCGGCCTTGTAAGTCATCTTGGGGCAGGAGTGGATATAATACCCCATATAGTACGAATCCAATAAGAGCTCAGGGCGCTGCTGCTGCTCGCGCTGCACCCACTCTATCTCCTTCAGCGCGGAAAACTTCCCCAGGGACAGAAACGCATAGTCTGGGTCCCAAAAGAGATACTTAGATGAGAGGCAGCGTGGCAGCACGTCCACCACCCCCACGGCCACTAAGCGCCCGTCGATCCGATACTGCTGGTGGAAAGACCCGTACCCACAGGAGGGGAGGGGCGCTGAGGCAGGCTTGGGCGCTTCTAGGGGCGGGACTGAGTGTGGGTGGGGAGTAGTGGAAGTGGGAGGAGCGGAGGTGGAAGGAGCAGGTGGAGGGACGTGTATGAGGGGAGTGTTAACGAGGAAATTCTCGTAGCCGCGTCTGGTGACGGAGGAGGGCTTGTCATCGTGCACGTGAATCTGGTACTTGCGGTACAGCTCGTACTCCTCCTGAGTGAACGCCGATGGGTGGGTTGTTATCTCTAAACGTCGTGGGGTGCGCTGTTTCCCCTGCTGCTGCCGCTGCTGGTCCTGCTGCTCGTCCCGTTGCTGCTGCTGCTGCTGCTGCTGCTGCTGTTGCTGCTGCTTCTGCTCTTCCTGCTGCTGCTGCCTGCCGTTGCTGATGATTCGTGCCTGTTGTCATGCCACCATGAAGCAGAGCGGCGGGAGCAAGCACGTTCACATGCCCATGCACGGCTCTCACACACACCCCCTCTGGCAGTCCCCCCCTTTGCCACCCCCCCTCTGCTTCGGCTACCAGCTTTGCTGCTAAATCCTGTGCACTAGAGCTTAAAGAGAGAGCGCTTGTGCCCCCTCTTTCTCCGCTTGCTGATTGCTGTGTGGCTGTCACCCCTGGATGCTGCTGCTGCAGTTTCTTTAATCCGGAGCAGATTATAAACGCAATGTTTGACGTCAGCACAGGCAGAGGAGCAGACGCTCCTTTCTGCTGGCTTTCCCCTGCCCCTCCTGCCCCTTCCTCCTCTCCCTTCCCTCCCTCCCCTCCCTTCCCCTTCCCACCCTTCCCTCCCTTCCTTTTCCCTCCCTCCCCTCTCTCCCCTCCCTTCCCCTCCCCGACTCGCGCCCTCACAGCTGACAGGAACAGATCTGAGCTGTCACAGCAGGCAGCACCAGGCTGGCAGGCAGCATCCCCTGCTCCCTCCATAGCTGTAGCACCCCGCTTAAAGCCCCTTCCACACGCGCCTGCACTGCTGCCAAAGGTCCTTGCTCCAGATTTCTAGTCGAAGCCCCTTCCATCCGTGCATCCCCTAGGGCTTGCCCCTTTGCAGGGTCTGATTGCTGCGGCGTTGCACCTAAATTTGCACCTGAATTTGCACCCGAACCTGAACCTGAACCTGCGCCCGAGTTAAAAGCGAGGCCGGGACGGTTAGCAGGGGAATCTCTAGGCCTGGGGGGCGGAAGGTCGATGTCTCCACTGAGGAACCTCTCCATGCGCCTCAGCACCTTGCGCTGCTCCTTGTTGGGCTGAAACCGCCCCGCCACGAGACGGATGGTGTAGGCCGGGCAGCAGGTGCGGGGCATGTCCGGCTTGTAGAGGAAGCAACCCGACCGACGCCAGCCACGATCCAACAGGTCTGAAGGGAAGGGCAGGGCACGAGGAAAGGGGAAAGGGATGGATTCAACTCAATAACGCCATAACATGGTGTCGAGTTCTCCACTGAGGAACCTCTCCATGCGCCGCAGCACCTTGCGCTGCTCCTTGTTGAGCTGAAACCGCCCCGCCACGAGGCGGATGGTGTAGGCCGGGCAGCAGGTGCGGGGCATGTCGGGTTTGTAGAGAAAACAGCCTGACCGACGCCAACCACGGGTTAACAGGTCTGGGAGTAACAGGGGTAAGGGAAACACGGGGCTGGAGAGGAGTGAAGAGTGACGATGGAAGCACTGTTTAAACGTCTGAAAACTGCTGCACTAAAAATAAAAAAAGAAAGATGTCGCCACACTACCAAATAACATGTTCCTGTAAGCAGCCACTGTACCTTGATAGTCCTGTACGGTCATAGTCTCCGCGGTGATTCCTGAAAAAACAAACAAACAAACAAAGGTTCAATGTATCACATGTATTTCGCAATGGTAACACGGGAAAGGCTGAAAATAAAACTGTGAAACGAACGGAAACGCTCATTCGGAAACGCTGATACGGAAATGTAAAACGGAAACGCTGAATATGGGGATCCTGTCCTGACCATGAGAGTGGCTGGAGCCGCGAGCGCCTCGGCAGTAGCCGCAAGAGGAGGAGTAATCGCCATGGTCCACCACGATCGTCCGCTCCACCTCCGGCTGTCGCTCCGCCTCTTCGGACTCTGAATCGGATTCGCGAACCCGCTGCTGCTTCGGCGGCTGCTGCTGCTGCTTGCGCCTTCGACCCAGCATGCTCGCTCGCTCGCGAAAAAAACAAGCAAATGTTAACAAACGAGGGAAGCGAGAAACGGAACACTAGAAACGCTGTCAGCAAACGGAAATCACTTTCGACAGTGCTGTCCGAGTGTATGATCATTCTCATCATTCATGTGTCCGCAGCAGCCATAACTCGACCTTCAACTGAACCCCCAGTTTTCTGCAGGGGAGAGTCCCCCAAACGTTCAAAATTCACAACTTCGTTGGGAAACTAACGGTTGAGTACGTTTCTGAACTCTTTATAATGGTAGAGCAAGATAACCGCTCTAAACCGCTAATCACCTTTCTAAACACCGGAGACTTTAAGAACACACCTATGACACACCCTGGAAATTGCCGTGAAGATCCAACCCAGTCCCAAGGCCATTTGCTTCCACTTCAAGTCAAAACTTGCCCTCCACGTGTGGAACACTTGTTTCGTCTGTAAGGAAATCGACTTTACAAGAAGTCACAGACAGGTTTGCAAACATTTAGGATGCATATTAACAAAACAATCTCGTTGAAGATGAAGTATAGCATGGTACAAGAAGTCCATGATACAACAGCTGTTGCATGATGCATTCCCACTTATGGTACAAAGGTTGTAAAAACTTTATCTATTGTTAGTCCAGTCGTCGTAGCAAGGAGCAAATCAGTAATACACAACACCATTGAACCTTATTACCATATAGAAACCGTGCTCAATGACCTTCCGGAGTCCCCACGCGGCGTTCGCCAGCCAAGCTGTCTTGGCCGTCCCTTGTTAACCTGCTCCTGCCTCGCGGGTTGGTATCACATTCTCTTTCCGCAACACCCCCATGCCCAGTCTCAGTACTGCAATCCTCGAAGCAATCCCCCTCTCCCCACTCCTCTAGCAGCACTGCCAGCGTCAACATTAGACGTAAATCCTTGCACTCGCTCCGTATTTGCTCCAGTGTTATCACTGCCCAGTGTATCTACTGTACTTCTATGCATACTCCAGTTACTGTGCACTGCATGTGCGGCACGGGAGCGAGGCTGGGGCATCGCATCCCACTCCCCCACACCGCTCAGCAGACCTGCTACAGCCTGCAGCTCCCGCATCACCTCTGCTACAGCCACAGGCCGCTGCTCCTGCTGCTGCTGACGTGGCGGATGCTGATGGGACTGCTCCTGACGTGTCTGCTGACGTGGATGCGGATGCAGTGGTTGATGCTGCTGTTGGGGTTCTGGAGGAAGCTGGGAGTGTGCTTTTTGCTGCTGCTGCTGCTGCTGCTGCTGTTGGTGCTGCTGCTGCCTCTCCCCACTCCCATCCCTTCCCATGGATTGCCTCTCATCTGGCCGGAGTGATTTGTCTCTTCTGACATCGCCCCTCCTAGGATCATCACTCTCCATTTTCCCGACCTCCATCGCAGCATCCTCTTCCTCCTCCTCCTCCTCTTCCTCCTCCTCTTCCTCGTCCTCTTGCTCCCCTCCTTTCCTTGATCTACCCGTTACTCGTTCTCCTTCTCGTTCCCCTCCTCCTTCCCCTCCTCCTCCTTCTCCTCCCTCTCCGCTTCCTCCCACTTCGTCTCCGGAACTTCCCTCTCCTTCCTCACCTCCCTCCTCTCCAGTCCCCCCTGTCCCAGGAACAGCTCCCTCCTGGTGCCATTCCCCCCCTCCCCCCCACACTCCTCCCCCCCACCCACTCACTTCCCCCCCTCTCCCTCTCCAACCTCCCGCCTCTCCCCCTCCACCACCACCACCCTCACTCACTCTCAACTCTATTGGCCTTCCACCCGCTCTCCTCACTCCCTCCCTCCAAAACACGCCTCCTCTTTCCCCTTCCTTCCTCCTCTCCACCTTCCCCTTCCCCCAGCCCTTCCCCCCCATGCCGTCTTACCCCTGCTCTCTCCCTCTCAGCCTCCCCTCTTGCCGTTCCCTCCCCACCCGCCCCCCCCCAACCCACTCTTCTAACCCCCATTCCGCTTCCACCATCCCCCCCCTCACCCAATTCCCCACCACCCAAGCCCCCCGCGCCCACCCTCCCCCGTTCCGTTCCTCCCCCAACCATTCCCCCATCACCTGCCCTCCCCCCACCCTCACTCCCCTCACCAGCCCTCCCCTCACCAGCCCTCCCCTCACCCGCCCAAACCCCACCAGTTCTCCCCCCACCAGCCCATCCCCCACTGGTCCTCCCCCCACCTGTTCGCCCGCCACTCGCCCTCCCCCCGCTCGCCCTGCCCCCACAGCACCTGTCCAGAGCCGCAAATACAGCCGCCGCTACAGCCTGGCCGGCCGAGGACCCCGGGAACAGCAGCAGATCCTGCAATAGCTGGGGGACACGTGGACTGATGGAGGGGGTGTCAGAGACACGTGGGCTAATGGAAGGGGCTTCAGGCACACGTGGGCTGATAGAGGGCGCGCCAGGTGGGGTGATGGTTGGGGCGTCAGAGACACGTGGAATGAGAGAGGGGACGCTGGGGGTGGTCGGGTAGGGTGTGCGGGTCGTTAGGTGCTGGCCTTTGATGTAGCGCGGGGACATCTGCTGGCTGAGGCTTTGCCTGCTGCTGCTGCTGCTGCTGCTGGCTGTGATTCCTGGTGTTGCTGCTGCTGCTGCTGTGACTGCTGATCGCGTTGCTGTGTCTGTGGCTGTTGGGCTATTGCTGCAGCAGGAATGGCTTCATCAGCAGCAGCAGCAGCAGCAGCGCCATTAGCATCAGCGTCAGGAGCAGCAGCAGCAGATACAGCAGCAGGGCAGAGAGCAGCGGAAAGCGCATGGGAGCTGGTAGCAGTGCTGCCTAGAAGAGCAGGAGGGACTGCCGTAACTGGCAGGAGTCGAGAGGCGAGAGAGGGGTGTGAAGGGCACGAGGGTTGTGGGTGGAGTGAGGGCTGGGAGGGGTGTGAGAGGTGTGAGGGTGGAGGCGTGGCAGCAGCAGTAGGCTGGGGAGGAGGCATGGAGGCAGCAACCGAAGGTGCTGCTGCTGCCGGGCTTGGCGGGGATTGACTGGGGGGCGGGCGGGAAGGGGAGTAACGGGAGGGAGCGGGCATGACAGCAGGTGCAATGGTCACCATGCTAACGCCACCGCCGCCACCCACGCCAGCTTTATCATCCGTGCCAGCCATGTTAGCCGTGGGGACTCTGCTACCCGCGGGAATTATGTTACCCCTGGGACCAATAGGAACCACAGGGGGAGAGGCGTCGTGTTCAAGCGTGCTGGTCGCGGGCGGAGAGATTCCAGTCTGCAGCGCAGCACTGTGTGAAGCGAGCGGGGAGACACGAGCGGGCGCAGAAGGAGAGAGCTCGCTCAGCAGCGCGCTGTGCGCACGCAGGGAGACTCCGCTTAGTAGCGCGCTGTGTGCAGCGGGCGGGGAGGCGCCAGTCAGGAGCGCGCTGGTCGCGGGCGGGGAGACTCCAGGCGGAAAATCCGCGTGGGAAGGCGGAGTCGCGCGCCTTCCCGCCACGTTTCCTGTGGGCGGGGAGGCCCCAGTCAGCAGCGCGCTGCCTGCGGGCGGGGAGACTCCGCTCAGCAGAGCGCTGTGTGCTTCAGGCGGGGAGGCGCCAGTCAGGAGCGCGCTGGTGGGCGCAGGCGGGGAGGCCGCGCTATCCGTGGTGCCTCGCGCGGGCGGAGAAGCGCCACTCAGAAGCGCACTGCGCGCAAGCGCGGAGTCTCCGCTCAGCAGTGCGTGTCTGCCTGCTAACGGGGAGGTTTCGCGCCGTACCGCGCGCCGCAAAGGGGAGAGTCGACTCCGCACACCATGCGCGGGAGGTTTCCCCTCCCAGCCACCCTCCACTTCCGCGCCCTCCGCGCTTCTGCCATCCGCGTTCCGCGCACGTTCCGCTGCTGCCCCCTGCGCACGTCCCCTCTGCTGTGAAACCGCTGCCTCCCCACCCCGCCACCACCCTGCTCCCCCGGATGTGCCTCCTGGTGCGCCCCTCCCCGCAGCGAAGCTCCCGCGGTCCTGCTCCCCCCACACAAATTCTGAAACCTCTGGCGGCGATATGCCAGGCGAAATTCCTTGCATTAAACCAGGAGATATAGCAGGCGAAATAGCAGCTGACGTGCCACTCCAAGTTACCATGCCAGGCGATACACCAACCCACGGTCTTTGTTCGACACCCGCAGACCCGCTTCCTGGTGTTACCTGGTTACCAGCATCTCCAAATATGGCACCTGAGCCAGTGTCCGTACCCTGCTGCAAAAAGAAACGTCCTCGCTGGTTCCCTGCTTCGCTCATTCTCAACGTAAATCGAGGTGGTAACTCGCCAGTACTCACTTCGCCTTCGCCAGGGCTAGCCTCCGTCCCAGGGTGCTGCCTGCTGCGACCCACATCCTTCGTCGCCTCACCTTCGCCACGGCCGTGACGGCCCCATTCGCGGTAACCTCGTTCAGCCTTCGTACTCCCACACTCCTCGCCTCCAAGAAACTGTTCTTCCCCTATCGCTTCTTCTCCTCTTTCTCCTCTTTCTCCTCTTTCTCCTTCCTTTTTTCCTCCTCTTTCGTCCCCTCCTTCCCCTGATCTTCTTTCTGCAACGTCCTTCCTCTCCTCCGCGGCCGCCTGTATTGCCGCCACCGCGGAAGCCGCCGCGCGCTGCCACACGATACTCTGCGGAGTGGCGACCGGTGTGCTTCCACCGCCCCGTCCCCCTCCCCCTCCCCCCTCCGCCGTCATTGCGCGGAACGACGCGCGATCGAGGACCGACAGTTGCGGACGCGGGGCACACTTCGCGCGAAATCTTTCCGCCAAGCTTCCCCCAATGGGCGGCGCGGAGGATCCTGGGCCAAGCATTCTGGCGGACGGCGGAACATCTGTGGGTACCGGGTGTGTTTCCGCGCGGCCTTCCGCCTGCGCTGATTGCGCTGCAGCGGGGGGAGCCGCGGGAGTATCATCACTGCTATCCAGAGCTGCTATGCTAAATCGAACGTGCTTATATCGCGGGAGAACCGCTAGCCCTCTATAAAGCAATCGAAAGTCGTTTCTCGTGAAGCAGATGTGAAAATACGAATGATGATAATAACGGGATGATGGCTCTTGAAATACGCCGAGGCAGTAACGGATTCGCAGTCGGTGCGGTGTAGAGCCGCGATAGGCTACTCGCGATATTCGCCAGAGCGAACTGGTAACGCCGAGGCGGCTACTGATGGCTACTTGCCAAAAAATGGGAAGCGCGTAGTCGCAAAACGAGGTCGTACCAGCGGAGAGGCGAAAAAATAGCGCTGAGAGGGAGGATGCGAGCCGGAAGAACCGGGGAAGAATGCGACGCGAAGGGTCGCGGCGCGAGGACAGCGGTACTGAGCGGCTGAATGCGACGCGGAGGGTGGCGGCGCGCAAGAATGATTGACGAGGCGCCTGGAGAATAATTTCAGGGCTAAGCCAGCAGGTTATTGGGCGGGCGGCTTTGAAGCGGATGGAGGGCGCGCGCAGGAATAAAGATGATACACCCACCGCTGCTGCTCCTCCAGGCTCCGTAGTACAAGTCCTAGTAGTCACGCTCCTCTTGCTATAAACATTCTTCTGCGACAAGCGCGCGACCGCGAGCGACGGATCACGATCCCGGGCGACAGTCTGTGCGACGGCAGGACGGGACGAATGGGCGTGCGGGAAGAAAACGAGCCTTGTCATTACTCTAACGCCTCATAGCTCTTTTGGTGTGCTTGAACCTCAACGGATGGGCCCTTGCGTCAAGGTTCCTCTCAAGTAGCCGGTGTGCTCTCTCCTTACTAGCGCGCGGGTCCGCTAATGCTGCGGCAGCATGGGGGAAGCTCAAGAAGCCTTCCAACGCCTCTAGTGAAAAAACATCGGGGGAGACGCTGGAAAATATAAAGATCCAAGCGGCGAGTTGTCCGCTTTCGGTTTTTTAAACGCTGGAGCTACAGTAGTAGGACGGGATTGGAGAGAAAGCGCGGGATTCTTGCGGATTACTGCAAGTGGCATGGGTGTGGATGTCTGTAGGGAAGATGCGGAGATGAGGGGATGCGGGGGGATGCGGATTCTTCCTGCACGTCCTTAGGACAGGAATTAAGACTGTCTGCAAGCGCAAGTGTTGAGTTGTCCATGGCCCCGCTCGCACGCCCCCTGGTTTCTTCGCACACCCTAGCCTTTCTCTGTTGGTCATTAGAATCTCATGTCGACTTTCCCCTGTGCGCAGCAGCAGCAGGTGAGCCATGGTTCTTCAGGAGAGGCTGTTGCTTTTGAAAGCGCCTTTCCCGCTTGGGAGGAAGAGATACGTATTCGTTTGCACAAGAAGCATTGAGCCTTGTGATCTTTCTCAAATTTGGTGGGATGGCAAATTTTGCTGGACTTGGGGAGGCGGCTCGAGTACGCTCACCTGCAATTCATGGAGAGCGTGATGGCCGGGATCCAACCAGAACCGCGCCGCATGCGCAATTTTTCCACCTGAGAATCGCAATTGATGGATTTTGCGAAACGAAGCAGCTTGCGACCCGTCCCCTTTTCGCTGAACCCGTCGTTCGCCAGTCAAGTACTCGAATTGGAGTTCGCAGAGGCTCCTCGTTTCGGGGTTTGTGTTTCTGTTCCACAGGCGCCGTGAGTAACGGGAAAGCAGGTTGAACTGGCGAATCGTTGGTGTTGCCTGAGCGTAGTTCCCGCTAGAGTAGCGGGGGGGTTTTCCCGCTCTTTTTGCGTGTGGTGTTCACACGATCAGGTGCTTTTCCTGAAAGGGTGAATCACAATCAGGGCACCAAAAAGGTACCCCAACGGAAGATCTACTTCGGAATATATAGAATTCTGGTCTACCAATGGGAATTTTGCAATGATACATAACAGCTGGATGCTCCGAAAGCTGAATGAGTTGCATTTTTTTACTTCGAGTCACAGTACATTGTGGCACTTCGTGCCAGGGAAAACGCCACAAAAACCTTGTTATAGTTAAATGCGATACAATAAAGAGTCGTAGCAAATGATGTACTTTATAATGCTTTAGAAGCTTTGGTTTGGTTTGGAATGTTTGTACATGAAATCACTTCGATAATCCGCACATCCAGCTGTTCGTTGGAGCGCGAATCTCAAGTTTCAACGAATAAGCCGCACACCGAACGGTCTCAGCACTCCTTGTACGACTACGCACAACAGTGTAAGTTAACCTAATTCGTTTCCTGTTTGAGAGAGTGCTTTGCGCCCTTCCCGCCACGCCGCTTCCGCCACCGCCCCTCCGCCAGCGCTTTTCCGCCAGCGCCCCTTCATCAACCCCCCCCCCCCCCGTTCCAGCTCCCCCAGCCCTCCCAATTTGCCCATCCTTCCTTTCGCGCTTCTTTTTTCCGCGAATTGCGTTTGCTCTTTCGCCTCGCAGCCGTCCCGCTCCTGCCGTCCACCCGCCTACCCTCCTCTCCCCTCCGAAGCGTCCCTAGCTCGCCTAGATTGAAGTCACTCCGGATCGCCTAGATTGAAGTCACATAGAGAATTTATTCCCAAAGGTGACTCCGTTCTTCCCTTTCTCCTTGCGCTCACTTCTCCTCTCCCCCCCTTCTCTCCCTCCCTCCCTCCCTCCCTCCCTCCCTCCCTCCCTCCCTCCCTCCCTCCCTCCCTCCCCCTATCCCTGCGTATACCAGGGTTGCGGCAATCATGAGGCAGCGAGCAGCAATGGACGGCGACTCGAGCGGGGGCGGCGCCGCTGCTAGGAAGGGTGGCGAGGAGCCAGAGTTCCTCGACTCGCAAGGTTGGGCGGTGGTGCTGGGAAGGGTGGTGCTGGCAAGGGTGGTGCTGGCAAGGGTGGTGCTGGCAAGGGTGGTGCTGGCAAGGGTGGTGCTGGCAAGAGTGGTGCTGGCAAGGGTGGTGCTGGGAAGGGTGGTGCTGGCAAGGGTGGTGCTGGCAAGGGTGGTGCTGGCAAGGGTGGTGCTGGCAAGGGTGGTGCTGGCAAGGGTGGGATGCATGGCAGTGGCAAGGGTGGGAAGGGTGACGAGGAGCCAGAATTTCTCGACTCGCAAGGTCGTGCTGGGAGTTGATTTTGCATGGCAGTGGCAGGGATGTGAAAGGGTGACGGGTTTTCAGAGTTCCTCGACTCGCGAGGTCGTGTGGTTGTGCCTCCCTCTTCCGCTTTACTTCCCTTAGAGGGAGAGTTGGGATGCGTAGCAGTGGCAGGAAGGTGGATGAGGAAGGGAAGGTGAGGCAGATTGTGCAGAAATTAAAAATGCTGTGATGCATTGCGTAGCAATGGCATGTCATGTGGCCATGGCAATGAATGTGGCATGGCATCATGGCATGGCATGCATGTGGCATGGCATCATGGCATGGCATGCAGAGCAGGAGGCGATGATTGCAACTTTTGAGAAGCAACACCGCGAGTCATTTCGTTTCTGGAAGGTCAGTGGGTGTGTGTATTCTTTAGTTTCTGGAAGCAACTATCGATCCCTGTTCTGTCCTGTGTATGTGCCTGCATCTTACTCAAGTAGGACTTGGCAAGTGACTTCCGAGTCGAGTGTGTTCACGTGTGCTTCTTATGACTTCTTCCGTACACTTAATCTGGGTTATAAACAGAAAGTGGCACTTATCGTGCCTGCCTGTTGCGGTCTGTTCCAACATGTGCCTCTCATGGCTTCTTCCGTACACTTCATCTGGGTTATAAACAGAAACTGGCTCTATTGTGCCTGCCTGTTGCGGTCTGGTCCAACATGTGCTCCTCAGGGTCCCATTGTCGCCCTTACTGTGCGCTACAATTCCTGTGGTCCGTTTTTCCCCTGTACTGCGCGCTACAATTCTCATTGTCTATCTTGCAGATCTGCATATCGCTGTTGCTACTCGCATATGCATTGTTCATGGTGCATGGGGTCATCAACCTCGTGGTCTCTCCCTGGAGCCAGGTGTGTGTGTGTGTGTGTGTGTGTGTGTGTGTGTGTGTGTGTGTGTGCGTGTGTGTGTGTGGTGTGTGCAGTGCGTGTGTGTGTGCGTGCGTGTGTGTGTGTGTGTGTGTGTGTGTGTGTGCGTGCGTGTGGGTGTATGTGTGTGCGTGCGCGTACGCGCGTGTGTGCGTGCGAGCATGCGCAGGCGTGCGCGTGCGTGGGTGTGAGTGTGTGCATGTGTGCGTTTGTGTGTGTGGAAAATCCATGTGGCAATTTTGGCACAGCACCAAATGCATCAGCATCCTCATTTTCATGCTATCCCTCCTCTTATCCTCTCATCATCCTCTCATCTCTCGACGCTCCTGCCTCTCTTCGTTTTCTCGGCCTACCTTATCATTGTGCGTCTTCGTGTTCCTCCTCGTGTTTCAACATTGCTGTTGTTTCTCTCTTATCATCGAAGCTCCTCGTAAGAATTGCTCCCCATTTTGGTCTGCACTCCCGAGTTAGACATAATAATTCGATTGCTTTTTTTTTTGTTTTTCCCACTTCCCTTTGCTATATCAATCAGAGGAGGAATGCAGAGCTGCGGCAAATTCTCGACTTCAATACCCTTGCTGCTGCTGGTATGCCACCTCTCCCTCCTGCTCCTTCTCTCACCTGCTTCCCACTCGTCACATCCGTATAGCGCCCTCTTTGATACTCCTGTTTTATTGTCATAAAAAACAGGGAAGGCAGGTCCCACCCACACCTTCCAACTTTTCTCCCTTCCACTCCGTCTTTCCTCTCTCTCGAATGTGGCATCTGTAACAACCTCTGCCCTTTGCCTTCACTCTCTCTGCCTGCGCGGCTCCACGCACCCCCTGCTCTTCACCCTCCCTATTACTCCCCTTCATTCCCTCTCCCCTCCCTTCCTTCCCTTCCCTTCTCTCCTTTAGGGCATCAGTAGCAGCCTCCGTCTTTCTCCCTGCCTCCCTCTGGCTGCATGGCACCACACACCACCTTCTCTTCATCCGTCCTCTCATTCCGCCTCCTCTTTTCTCCCTCCCTCTCCGTCCCTCCTCTCCCTCAGACGTGGCATCAGTAGCAGCCTCCGCCCTTCTCCTCGCTTCCCTCTGGCTGCACGGATCAACTCGTCACCTTCTCTTCACCTCTTCTGCTGCTCTCTCCGCTGCGCTTGCTCTCTTCTGGTGCTACACCCTGCTACAGTAAGTATCACTGCATAAATTTCCGGTTACAGGTGACTCGAAAGGTTGTTCTCTCCACTGCACCCGCACACCAATGGAGCTACACCGTGCTACAGTAAGTATCAACGGTTGCAACGTAGCAGTTCTTCTAGTGCTACATCCTTCTACAGTACGTATCTACTTTTGCATCACCCTAGTGTTTCATCTGGTGCTACACCCTGCCACAGTACGTATCGCTGCCTAACCCTGCCCAATTGTAGTATTGATTCACTTATGAGGCGACTCAAAAAGGTGTTTCCCCCACAGCACTTGCACAACCCATGACCGTGTTGCAAATATGTGGCGGCAATTCTGTGGGCAGTCCATGTGGCATCATTTATTCCCCTTGCTCTCTTGTGTGCCACAATCAAACTGCCAGGCTGGCAACACCGTTCCGGTGGCGGCTCTTCTGGTTACCCCTCACAAATCCAGTGTAAGAGTGCTTGTCACCCCTGCTTCTCTCATGTCTGTTCAACCCACCTGCATCTCCAGTTGTTTGTTGGCCTGTTACCATCCCACCAATGCACGTTACGCAGCTTCTTCGCCACTTCTGTGTTACACATTTGTTCTTGCTGAGCTATTATTGATAAGCGTCATAGTGTTCAATTGATACTCAGCTGTGGTACTTTTTTTTTCTCCCTGCGCAGGTTTGTACTGCTTGCAGTGTACATCCACCATTCATTCAGCAGCGTGGAAAGAGAGATTGCAAAGCTTCGCGTTCTCAAGTACGACCACAAACGAGTTTAAGGTCTTAGAGGACAGAGCCTGTCTACATTGCACACACGTACCACGTTACATACAAGGTAGTAGCAAATGGTGTTAAAGCCAAGATGAGAAAATGGGAAGAAAGAAAGCAAGAAAGCAGAAGCCAAAATGGGAAGAAAGAAAGCAAGAAAGCAGAAGCCAAAATGGGAGTGGAGGAGAATCCATGGCACAGAGGGCACAGGAGCACACCTGATCCACTTCATCTTTGTAGCCCGAGACTGCCGCAAAATGTGGCCCATACAGGTTTCGAACCTGTGACCTTCGCGTTATTAGCACGACGCTCTAACCAACTGAGCTAATGGGCCGACGACATATGATTTGTATTAAAAATCCTAGCCAGAAACAACTGCAGCTGTGCGGTTTGGTTTCTTTGCTTTCGGTTGAGAGGGCGTTCCGTCTTACCAAAAAAGTAAATGCGTGCGTATGCTCATACCCTGTCTGGATACTCATGTCCTTTTCTTCCCTCTCATTCTTCTGAATGCTTCCCAGCAGGCACGATGAAGAGGTGGCAGCATGCATGGCAGTCATCAGCGCCTTTCACGGCGACCTATGCCATCTCTCGCCCTCGTGTCGCTCACAGACTGTGGGGAGCGTGCGAGTCCGAGCGTCGCAGCTCTTTCATAAGCACCTCTCAGATTCACCATGCCTGAAGCTTGCATGCCTGAACCTTGCATGCCTGAACCTTGCATGCCTGAAGCTAGCATACCTGAAGCTAGCTGCAACCATCCCTGAGATCGGCAGGCGGGAAATCGGCATGCGTGGATTGATAATCGAGAATGGCGATCTCCATGGTGGTCTCACGGCGTCGCGTGCGCAGCGTTCCAACCTTTCCCTTACATAACTCGCTCCATAAGAACCAATCTCCAAATTCCTCTTCTTCTGAGCTCTCTTCCAGCCTTCGCTTCCAGCTGCTTTCAATTCGCACTTGTATCCCACCTTGCGTTACACCGCATCAGCAGCAGCGAAGCACTCGGTCTCAAAGCACTCGGTCTCGAAGCACCCGGTCTCGAAGCACTCAGTCTCGAAGCACTCGGTCTCAAAGCACTCGGTCTCGAAGCACTCAGTCTCGAAGCACTCGGTCTCAAAGCACTCGGTCTCGAAGCACCCGGTCTCTAAGCACCCGGTCTCGAAGCACTCAGGTCTCAAAGCACTCGGTCTCGAAGCACCCGGTCTCGCAGCACTCGGTCTCGCACCTTCACGCCATGGCGACGACTATTCCCGCGCAGCGCCAGGCGCAGCAGCCCGGCGTGCAACACGAGATGGAGCCGCGGCCGTCCGTCACTCGCGAGGCATACAAGCCGGCCGACAAGCTCAAGGTGCGTTTCTGGGTGCATGAATTGAGGTGAATATTGAATTGAAGTTGTTTCTAAGGTACGAAATCATTTTATAGCGTAAGGGCTTGTCAGCCCTTCTAACAGCTAGGATAAGATGCCCATGATTGTCTCAGAACTTCTAGAGTAAACTACTTAGTTCCTCTGCTGCTCTCTTCACTTCTCGTCTCTTTGCAGGGTAAGATCGCGCTGATCACGAGAGGCGATTCAGGCATTGGGCGGGGCGGGGCTCACCATTTCGCATTGGACTAAAGGCTCACTTCACTTGCCTATTTCCTCTGCTTGCTCTCTTCCATTTTCGTCTTATACAGGGTAAGATCGCACTGATCACGGGAGGCGATTCAGGCATTGGGTGGAGCGTTGCACACTACTTTGCACTGGAGGGAGCGGCGGTGGCGTTCACGTATGTGTCGCCGCGGGAGGACAAGGACGCCCAGGAGACCCTCCGCTTGCTGCGCGACGCCCAGCGCCCCGAGCACAAGCAGCCGCTCGCCATCCCCGTGGACCTCAGGCACCACGACCAGTGCAAGGAGGTCAGCTCGTGGTGGAGTTTCGTTTCTTGTTGAAAGTGTTCATCTACGATGGAATCTGGTTTTGCTTGTCACAGTTTCTCAATCGTTCGATCTTGCCAAAACGAAAGTTGTGCTTCATGATGCTTCTGAATGCTATTGGACATTCAATTCTTCACATGGGTACACTGGCCATGCAATACTCCTGATGCTGTTCTTATTTTTCTCCGCTTCTGATTCCCTCCATGGGAGCAGGTGGTGCGGAAGGTGGCGGAGCACTTTGGGGGGAACATAGACGTGCTGGTGAACAACGCAGCGGAGCAGCACACCCACAAGACCCTCGAGGAGATCTCCCCTGAGGAGTGGGACCGCACCTTCAAGATCAACATCCACGCCTACTTCTACATGGCAAAGTATAAGTCATGCAAGGATGTTGCATGGTGAAACTGGCTTCTTGCAATGACTTGACAGCACTTGAACGCATCTGGCATGATTGCCCTGAACTGGTTATTGGAATCTGAAAATCATGGTTTTCACAGCCCGGTCTTGGCTCTCCATCATGCGGCAGGTTTACAATTCTCACCTTTGTGTATCTGTTTCTGTGCCTTCTTCGTATCTGCAGGTATGCTCTGCCGCACATGAAGGAGGGTAGCTGCATCATTAACACCACATCAGTTGCCGCCTACAGTGGCAATCCCACTCTCCTCCCCTACTCCACCACCAAGGCTGCCATTGTTGGTCTCACTCGCTCGCTCGCACTCATGGTGGTTGATAAGGGGATCCGCGTGAATGGTGAGCTGAACACTTTTACCCGTAGCAGTATGCGTGAATGGTAAGGTATTATACGAGTCTTGTGACATACATATGTCATCCTTGGTGGTAGGGCTTGTACACATGTACAGTCAGTCAGTGATGCATGTTCAACTGCCACTAAACTTGCTGCTGTTTCACAGGTGTGGCGCCGGGACCTGTGTGGACGCCTCTCGTCCCTGCCTCCTAAGAGGAGAAGCACGTGGAAGGGTTTGGCAAGCAGGTGCCCATGAAGAGGGTGGCCCAGCCGGATGAGATCGCCCCGTCCTATGTGTTCCTGGCATGCGATGACTCCTCGTACTTCACCGGCCAAATGCTCCACCCCAATGGTAAGAAATATGTCAATTTCTTCTCAATATGTTTCTGTATTGACCACATTGTGTGTTATATATTGTGCAGGCGGGATAATTGTGAACGCGTAGGGAGTATTGTGTTCTCTTTGTGCATAGGCTTGTACATAGGAAGGGAGCAGCTGTATCTCGGATAATGTTTTTGCTTTGTGAGATGGTTAATGGTGATAAAGATGGAAAACAGAGAATGAAATAGGGTTGGACTGTGTAAAGGGATGGAAATGTTGGTGGCATGTAAAAGCCTCCAAAAACAATTATAGGGAAATATTTCTTCATAAGGTTGGAACATACGCCTCATATTTCCAGCGATACACTTCAGTACTATCTCTACTATACTGATCTTTCTGGGGTCTGCTTGGAGAGACTCGTCAACTTCAAGCCTCGTCATACCTGACATCTCCCGTACTCCTGCCTCTTCATCTCTCAGACATAACTACGTGTTGCATCCTTGTGTGCCGATCGTAATCCCTGATCCAAATAGCTAGGCTCGGGAACGGCTTTAGCTCGACTGACAACTGCAGAGCACACCAAACGAATCTCGCGATCCGGATAAAACAAGGGAAGAGTGAAACGCTATTCTTGTAGTGACAAAAATTTATACGCCGAGATAGAGGGTCGCGATGCCTCTAGCTCTGTCAGATGGGGTCGTCAACAGCATGGCTGTCGGCGCGCTCTTCAAGGACTATGTACGCTCGCTCTCACTCCTCTCTTATGTTGCTCCGCAATCTCGCGTCTCGTCGTTTTATGTTTAACGACTATGTACGACCGCCCCGTTCCCTCCGTTACGGAATGCTCGTAAGTATGGCTCCGTGTCATCTGTATTCGAGGACTATGTTCGCTCGCTCGTTTTCTTCGCGAGTGTGATGCGTCTCCGTTTTTTTTCGCAACTGATGCACAGTATAACGCCTCCCTCCAACTTTGTCTAACGTATGGTACGCCCGCTCATTCTCGTCGCTGATTGCGCATGCTCTCCTAGTCCTCCCCTTGTCTTTCTCTTCTGAAGCATGACTAGTTCCTCGGTTTCCCTCCTCCACAGTCCTCTTCTCTCAGTGAGACTGATGTCTTGTATTATCTAATGTCCACGTCTGTGTGTTCTTCCCTATGCCGTTGGTTTTCTGCAACTTCTTCCTTCCACCTTCCCACTTGACATACCCTCACTGGCCTTCCTTTCCCTGTTGGTTTCCATTTGAAAAGAACGGTCGGATCAACTCAATGGATTTTCATCGGACGGAGGACCTTCTCGTGACGGCTAGTGATGACGAGTCCATCCGAGTCTATGACACGTCAAATGCCACGTAAGCATGACGTGATGCTCCTTGCATGTTTGCTCTAGAAAGCAAACCAGGTCGTCTTTTCATGCAACCACTCTCTCCAGGTCATTTCTCTTCTTAAACGTTAATGACATGCTCAATTGATATGCACATGTTGGATCAATTTGATGTCTTTGACTGCACGGCACCGCATGGCACGGCACGGCACGGCATGGTATGGCATAACATTGTACATGGCATGATCCTGCACGGCGTGGCTGGTTACCCTCTTCCTGTGCCACGTCAGCCTGGTGAAGACGATTCACAGCCGCAAGTATGGAGTGGATCAGGTGGTCTTCACTCACCACCCCTCAGCCGTGCTCTACTCCTCCAAAAACGGCTGGGATGGTAAGTTATTTATCTGGATGGTTGAGTGAGTTTGGAAATGGCTGGTAGTGCTTTCTTGAGTGACAACACAGCTGGTTCGAACTCACCACCCCTCCGCCGTGCTCTACTCCTCCAAAAACGGCTGGGATGGTACGTTCTGGATGGTGGGATCTGGATGGTGGGTTCTGGATGGTATGTTCTGGATGGTATGTTCTGGATGGTATGTTCTGGATGGTATGTTCTGGATGGTATGTTCTGGATGGTATGTTCTGGATGGTATGTTCTGGATGGTGGGATCTGGATGGTATGTTCTGGATGGTGAGTTTCAGATGGTGGGGGTGGAATGGAAATGGCTGGTAGTGCTTTCCTGACTGACGACATACCTGGTTGTGATTCCCCACTCCATTTGCTGTGCTCCAATTCCTCTGGCATTTCCCTGTTCCTCTGCTTGGATGGTGCGTTTCGTTTCTGTTTATAAAATGCTCCGTAAAAGTGGCCTCCCTATCTCGCTTTTTCCCTCCTCCCTCTCTTTGCATTCCCCACCCCCCCGCCCACCAGAATCGCTGCGCTATCTATCCCTCTACGACAATCGTTATCTACGCTACTTCAAAGGTCATCGGGACAAGTGAGTGCCCCAGTCGTTACCAGATTGGAGTGTCTTAGAGGTCAACTCTAGTCGACCCTTTCTCTCCCCTCTTCCCCCCCCCCCCCCCCTCCTCCCCCTATTTCCGTCTCTCACCAAAGTCCTCTCCCTGTGCATATCCTTTAAGAACGACTCCTTCCCCTCTCTCTCGACACTCTCCTGGGCTCATTGTCCCTGTTGCACTCTCGCCCCTCTCTCACCTGCAGAGTCGTCTCTCTGTGCATATCCCTCCAGAACCACTGCCCTTTTCTCCTCTCCCCCTCGATTATGCTGTTCCACTCATTTCCCGTCCAGCGCTCTGTTGTCCCCCATCCAATCGACTTTCTCCCTTCCTCGCCAGAGTCGTCTCCCTGTGCATGTCACCCAAAAACGACTCCTTCCTCTCAGGAGCCCTCGACCACACTGTCCGACTGTGGGACCTCAGAACGTGCGAGTGCCAGGTCAGCAGCATACGGTTGCCAGTTCAGAAGTGTGGTTTGACCCATGGGAGTTTCAGTCGACTCAAGAAGTGAGTTTTGAGTCGAATCAAAACTCAGAACGTGCGAGTGTCAGGTTAGCAGCCAACGGTTGCCGGTTCAGAAGTGTGGGTTTGACCCCTGGATCAGCTTCTAACTAGGGTATCGAAATAAAGTGGTTAGTTGTGAGCTTGGTGTTATATGTGAGCTGAAGCAAGTGATTCTAGGCGCCATGTTGTTATGGCGCAACTCACGTCCAACTCCCTCCCTCTCACTTCCAACTCCCTCCCTCTCACTTCCAACTCCCTCCCTCTCTCTTTCACTTCCAGCTCCCTTCCTCGCTCCCTCTCATCCATCCCCACTCGTTCCCCAAAGTCTGATGCGCGTGAGGGGGCGGCCAGCAGTGGCATTCGATCAGCAGGGGCTCGTTTGCTCACCCTTGCCCTGTGCTGCTCCACCCATCCGCTCCCCGTCCTCCCATCCTCTTAACACTTCCTTCCCCACTCATTCTCCAGGGTCTCATGCACGTGAGGGGGCGGCCAGCAGTGGCATGCGATCAGCAGGGGCTCGTTTGCTTCACCCTTGCGTTGTTTCCCAATGCTCCGCCCATCCTTCCTCACATCCCATGGATCTCTCGTATTGTCCCATCTTCCCATCTTCCCCCCACGCAGGGCTTAATGCGAGTGAGGGGGCGGCCAGCAGTGGCATTCGATCAGCAGGGGCTCGTCTTTGCAGTGGCCATGGGGGGAGGCGCGGTGAAGCTGTTTGATGCTCGCTCGTACGAGAAGGTGCGTCTCGCAATCCAGCGACCTCTTGTCTCCAATCTTGGCCGTCCGTTCCGTTTGGTCTCCCATCCCATCTGACCAACCATGAATCCACAGACCTATGCACTAATTCCCGTCTTCTTCCGACCCACATAACCATGGTTCTAGGTGCTTATCCACACAGCCTATTCCCAACCGTGGGTCTTATGCGTAAGAACCCTGGGTTGTCTTCCCGCCCACATAGGGTTTGGGTGCATAACCACCCAACGAACCTTCCCATCGCCCATATCCCCTCCCCGCAGGTTCCCCTTTGGCACATGCTGATGAGGGGGTGATGGGGGCGATGGGGGTGATGGGGGTGATGGGGGTGATGGGGTGATGGGGTGATGGGGGTGATGGGGGTGATGGCGGTGATGGGGTTGATGGAGGTGATGGGGGTGATGGCGATGATGGGGTTGATGGGGGTGATGGGGGTGATGGGGGTGATGGGGGTGATGGGGGTGATGTGGGGTGATGTGATGAGATGGGGGTGATGGGGGTTGATTCGAGGTCTCACCGATGTCCCTCCTCCCTGCAGGGTCCCTTTGACACGATGCATGGGGACGAGGACGATGGGGAAGCTTGTTGCCGTCGTTGACATCCATCAAGTTCAGCAATGACGGCAATCAGATCCTCTCTTCCCCTTTACCCCTCCCCTCCTCCGCTGCCCACTCTCTCTTTCTCTCTCTGCGCTTTCTCTCCAAATTCATCCCCCTCTTTCTCCGCATCCTACTCCCCCTCCCCCTCCCCATCAGGGTCCCTTTGACACGATGCTAGTGGGAGGAGACGAGGACGAGGTGACGTCCATCAAGTTCAGCAACGACGGCAACCAGATCCCCTCACCTCCTCCTCCCATGATCCTCCACCCTCTCTCCTCCAATCTCTCCCCCCCCACAACTTGAAACCCCCGGCCCCCCCGTCCCTTCCCCCTCCCCACAGGGTCCCTTTGATACAATGCTGGTGGGCGGGGACGAGGACGAGGACGAGGTGACGTCCATCAAGTTCAGTCATCATTAGGGTAACACTCATATTTCCTTTTCCATTCCAACAGGGTCCCTTTGACACAATGCTGGTGGGGGGAGACGAGGACGAGGTGACATCCATCAAGTTCAGCAACGATGGCAACCAGATCCTCGTCTGCACTCTCAACGGCCGCATATACCTGCTGGACGCGTTTGAAGGGCAGAAGGTGGGTCCTTTTTCCTGCTCCAGTGGGGTTGTCTGCACCTTTAGGCACCAACAAATTCCCTGCACAGGGTGAGTGGGGTTGACCGCACAGGGTGAGTGGGGTTGACCGCACAGGGTGAGTGGGGTTGACCGCACAGGGTGAGTGGGGTTGACCGCACAGGGTGAGTGGGGTTGACCGCTCAGGGTGAGTGGGGTTGACCGCACAGGGTGAGTGCGCAGCATGCATGGGATGCCTGCACCCTCCTCAACGGCCGCATCTACCTACTCGATGCGTTCGAAGGGCAGAAGGTGGGTCCTTTTTCAGTGTCGCATAGGTGTTGTAAATGTAGTGTAATGTAAGGCTGTGATACACTAGTAGCTGTCTGCACCCTCAACGGCCGCATGTACCGGCTGGATGCGTTCGAAGGGCAGAAGGTTGGCTCCTTGGTGATTCGATCTTCTTTTCATATGAATAGGTTGAGATTCTCTGCAGTGGGGTTGTTATTGAATTCGCTGCACACTCAACGGCCAAACCTACCCGCGATATGCACTCGAAAGCCAGAGTTGTGTCTGGGTCTGTGGCACAGGGTGTGGCACGGGCTGTAGCGCAGGCTGTGGCACACGTGGTGACTGGGGATGTAGAGCGGACTGTGGCATAGGGTGTCACACAGAATGTACATGCCCTCCCTCCCTCCCGCCCTCCCTCCCTCCCGCCCTCCCTCCCTCCCGCCCTCCCTCCCTCCCTCCTCCCTCCTCCCTCCCTCCCTCCCTCCCTCCTCCCTCCCTCCTCCCTCCCTCCCTCCCTCCCTCCCTCCCTCCCTCCCTCCCTCCCGCCTCCCTCCCTCCCTCCCTCCCTCCCTCCCTCCCTCCCTCCTCCCTCCCTCCCTCCCTCCCTCCCTCCCCTCCCTCCCTCCCTCCTCCCTCCCTCCCTCCTCCCTCCCTCCCTCCCTCCCTCCCTCCTCCCTCCCTCCCTCCCTCCCTCCCTCCCTCCCTCCTCCCTCCTCCCTCCCTCCCTCCCTCCCTCCCTCCCTCCCTCCCTCCTCCCTCCCTCCCTCCCTCCCTCCCTCCCTCCCTCCCTCCCTCCCTCCCTCCCTCCCTCCCTCCCTCCCTCCCTCCCTCCCTCCCTCCCTCCCTCCCTCCCTCCCTCCCTCCCTCCCTCCCTCCCTCCCTCCCTCCCTCCCTCCCTCCCTCCCTCCCTCCCTCCCTCCCTCCCTCCCTCCCTCCCTCCCTCCCTCCCTCCCTCCCTCCTCCCTCCCTCCCTCCCTCCCTCCCTCCCTCCCTCCCTCCCTCCCTCCCTCCCTCCCTCCCTCCCTCCCTCCCTCCCTCCTCCCTCCTCCCTCCCTCCCTCCCTCCCTCCCTCCCTCCCTCCCTCCTCCCTCCCTCCCTCCCTCCCTCCCTCCCTCCCTCCCTCCCTCCCTCCCTCCCTCCCTCGCTCTCTCCCTTCTTCCCTCCCTCCCTCCCTCCCACTCCTCCCCCTCTTCACTGGTGCCTGAACAATGGTACTCTCCATCCCTCCCCTCCTTACTCCTCCCCTTGCTTCCTCCTCTCCCTCCCACCACCAGCTACACACTCTCTGTGTCGTACCTGACATTGACGGTGCCCCGTTGGAGGCCTCTTTCAGCCCAGATGCCAAATACGTCGTATCAGGTACATTTAAGTCATAATATTCTCACTACTTACAGATATTCAAATACTCTACACCCGCCTATTCCCGTCTGCCGCCCATTCATACGTTCTCTGCTTTGGGTTATATCTCGCTTCACTGTTCCAAATCTTGTCACTGCTGCTCCTGACACCCGACACGAACTGCTTTCAGAATCCTATGATGGCAAGAATGTGCATGTCAGCTCAGTTGTTGCTTTCTGCGTTCTGCTCTCGCTCTCCAATCTTCTCTCCTCTCTGCTCCCTGCTCTCTGCCCTCTCCTTGCTGCTCTCTGCTCTCTCCTCGCTGCCCTCTGCTCTCTCCTTGCTGCCCTCTGCTCTCTCTGCTCTGCTCTCTGCTCTCAGGCTCGGGTGATGGCACGGTGAAGGCTTGGAGTGCCACCACTGGCGCTCAGGTTGGCTCCCCTTCCTCCCCATCATCTCCCGTTGCTCTTTTTCCCCTTTCCCTCTTCCTTTTCTGTTCTCGCTCGCTCGCACATGGAACCACATATTCTATGATGCATGCATGCAAGCACACTTGCAATGACGCATGTGCAAGCACCCTTGCAATAAGGTGTGCAAGCACACATGCTATGACGCACGCAAATACACATGAAAGCACATAACCCTCTACCCTTTTCTCCCATTCCTGAATTCCTCCCCTCATTTCCCCAATGCAGGTGGCAACCTGGGGTAACCATGCTGGGGTGCCATCGGTGGTAAAATGGGCCCCCCGTCGGCTCATGTTTGCCACAGCATCCGTGCTATTAGCCCTCTGGATACCCGACTTATCCAAGATCCCAAGGCCCGGGTGATAGCAAAACAATTTTGTATATGCTAGCTTCTGTGAATTATCAGCTTGTGGATACAGCATGTGAATATAATACTATGTTCTGAAGTTTATGAACTGTACAGCCATGAAAATACCCTATTTTTCTTCACCATCGGTGATTTGAGTGAGGAAAATAATCGACTCCCCACTTTTGTGCGCGCACTGGTGTTGCTTGTAACGGAGCTGGCGCTCACCCCCGTCTTCACCTCAACCATCTCCTTCGCTTCCACGTTGCATGTCTTCCTGGCCGTCCTCGACGAACTTAAAGGAAAACGGCACAGCGACGCGTCGAGCGAGGCGCGCCGCGAGAGTCGAGTCGGTGCGGGTCGGGACTTCTCCAGCCACGTCAACTCCTCCTCGTGAGCAACGGTCCACCGTTGCTGCGCTTCGACCAACTCAAGCGCCGCATCGCGAATGCGGCAGCGAGCGTTATCCACCCATCCCGGATCGCACGCTAACGCAGCGTCGGCACAGCCGCACCGCGAACCAACGCTGCTCCGACAGTTAGGACAAATCGAGAGGTCGGGGGCCGCAAAGCTCGCGCGTCGAGTCTGCTTAGAGGCTTCTCTCGCGGAAAACACGCATTTGTCACATGCGTCGCAATCCTCGCCGCAATCTTCGCATGAACCTTCTGAAGCCGTTGAGTCTGACACGGATAGCAAAACCAGCGTCGCAAGGGCATCGCTGGACCACGTCGATTGTTTCATGAGGCCGCTGTCCCATCGTGTGATTCTTTCGTTGATCGAGCTGTGCGACGAGATGTGTGACGAGCTTCGCGAACTTAAACTTTCGAATCCTCTTTCGAATATTCCTGTAGCCCCTGGAACCTGCAAGGTAGGATTTGAACAGCCACGCGCGTAGGGGTCTACAACTCCACGCGCTAATGACCCTCTCGCCGCCGCCGCCGCCGTCGTCGCCCCCCTGTTGGGCGCCGACAGGCTTCGTCGGCACGGCGCTCCGCCGTCCATGTCGACACCCGATTCGAGAAAGTCGGCCCAAGCCGATGTCGCTTCCGCTACTGACGCAACGTGGCGAGAACGCGCGAAGGAGGAAGGCGGTACGCTGGACTCCATTGACTCCTCGGAGTAGAACGTGTTGGAGGGAAGTAGACTCCTGAAAAGATAGAAGCTGAGTTGAGATGCTCTATCACTAGACCCGTGGGAAGTAAGTGAGGAACGTCACAACCCGACGGCACAAACCGAGTCGACGCCCAGTCAACGTCTGTATTAGCGAAGCTAGAAGCACGGCGGCGAGCACCGAATATGCGCCAGCTGGAAGAATCCATGTTGATTGCACCCGAATCAGGCACTCCAGGTGTAGATGGTGTCGGACCCAGAGTCACTGTGGGCCAATATTTGGTGTGGAAATGATGAGAGTTTCTGTATGGGTTCAGAGAAGAATGGAGTGGTCTTGGCAATCTGGTTCTGGAGCTCACAAAAGTCAATAAGTTGCATACCCAACTATTTTGGTCTTGGGAAACATTTTAGCCCGAGAGGACTAGAAAATCCTAAACTATCGTGTCGAGAAATTCGCTTTCGTCCCAGCAGCTTCGACATTTGCGGCTAGAGGCGGTCTGCTTTTGATTCGGCGTATAACCGTCAGATCGCGGAAGAAACATAAGCAGGGCCACTCGCAAGCTGCCCTGCCAGACTTTTAGAGAAAATGAATTTCCTATCCCCGTAATTTGCTTCCAATTGGCTACGGAAGTGCGACTCGCTGGGGCTACAAGATGCTCAGCCACCTGCAACTGCAATGCAAAGGATTCAAACTGCTGGGTCAGTTTAGAACTCTTTAAACAATCAAAACCAGTGTTCTTTCAGAATACACTAGGCAAATGTTTTACAGTGTAACGCGTGTATCAGAGTAATTTTTTCCTGGGCCGAGCACATGCACCACGCGACAACTAAGACACACCACATTTGCTCCAAGGGATTTGGAGCAGAGGTTTGTTCCATCCATTTTACACATAATATCGTCTTTGGAGATGTTAGCAACAGCCACTCACGCGTGACAAGCTGGAAGAAACCCAGAAGCCACTTGAGGTATTACGTGGACGGAATGAACCGACCGTCTTGTGGGAGATCCTGGAAGCCGCTCTCTCACTTCCGCGTGGCATACTGGCCATCACTTGCAGAATCAAAATCATGGCTTTTACTGACACCTGGGCTAGCTGGATCCAACCTCAAACTTGAGGGAGGTGAATGATAAAAATAATCTTAGTTACACCTAAACAAGGAGCAAGTGCATGGAGTGGGAGGTGGAATATCTTTGGAGCTTCTGTTGTTACTAGTAGGTTTTGAGGGACGCTGCGGCGCGATCCGAGTTTCAGCAGTGCATTCAATGCAAGTCCTTTCATCGGAACCTGCGGAAAGTTCCGACGAAGCGTCGATCGAGAAACGTTCTGGAAAGAAGATACGTACTCCATTGGAGACAAACCCCTGTCACCTAGGAGAGTGTTCAAAACTAACAGACCTTCTGCTGAGTCTGTATTTTAATATCCAATCTCGAACAATCATCGATCCCCTCTTCAACGGGGCACATTTCTTGCTGTGCCACACGGTATAGAAATGAACAGGTCTGCACAATCCCGGTCATAAAGTATAAACATATATTCGTACATATGTTACTATGTACGCCAGGCCCCTAGATTCGTTTTGAGCTAGTTATGAGGCATCAGAGTACACCCCTCTTCCTAGTCTGGCTGTCAGAGTTGACCAAATTTTAAAGTCTGAAAGTTCAGACTCCGCAAACTTTTCAACGCTGATGTTACAGACTAGCACTCAAATTTTACTCTTGTTTGAGAACACCACAACTAACAATTGTTATATGTATGCATTAGTCTGTCATAGAATCTACAAGATCACATTCCACTACTGGCTCATCTACATGCTCCTTCCCAGCCCTTGGGGGCTCCTCCCTGTGCCTTGATGCAGGTGCTGTGAACGGCCGGCGCTTCTTGTAAGCGCGCCAAATCTCGACTACTCCTGGGACGTTTAACTCATAGTCTAGCAGTGAGATGCAAAGCAGATCGCTCAGCCTACAATCCTTGATGCTGCCCCTCTGCCACGTCTTGATCAGGTTCTGTCGGGAAAAGCCTCGCTCACTCTCGACCGTGCTGAGAGGCAGCACTGCAATCACCACCCAGAGTCCGCCGAGGTTGGGGTACGCCTGCTGCCAATCGGGTGTCCTGAGAATGGCGGTAAGTCCCGTGTGGAACTTACGCTCACTCTTCGGCGCTCTGGCAAGAACTGGACACAGCGTGCGAAGCTCCCTCATGGCCTTCTTCTTGTCAATGCCTGCAAGGTATAAGAGGCAGCGGTTAGTATAAAGGCCGCGAGAGAGGGGGAACCGGGTGGCATTTCAAACTAACCTGGTAGTTATCATCTGCGTGGAACAACGTGACAAGCGACAAGAGCCACTCCAGGCACTGGGCCTACCGCGCGTCCCGGTCCCATTGCGGTTGCCACAAGTCAGGGATAAACAGCCTCACTCCAGAAAGAGACTCAAGGTCGCCAAGCTTGGACTGGAGGTTCTCAACGACATGCTCGACCATGTCGGTGCAGAGCGCCACGCACGCGTCGTGGTGGCCGGGCCCACGATAGTTCGGGTTGGTGCGCTCGTGAAGCGTCACCTTGAAGCGGTTGAGACTGCCATCGGACGAAGCTCCCTCGATCACCATTTCTGGTGAACCACGCGGTCCGTGCTTCTCAAAGAAGCGGTACAGCCTCTCGGTTTGCCCTCCCCCGAAGTCGTCACCACAGTCGACGTAACGGCTCTCCAAGATCAATGTCGTACGCACAATCTGTCAAATTATAATGTTGTATAAGCTTTAGTGGGGTAGCCCATATGGGGTACACATTTCTAGGGTTGCATATTTGTATCACTTTCATTCCATAGTCATTCCATTCTCGTTCTAATTTCCTCATGGTATCGAGCAGGTTCCCCCGTGGGAACTGTGCCTAGGGCCCACCACATCGAGTTTTTTTTTTTTTTTTTTTTTCTCCTGCCCGAAGAGCGCTCAGCCCGAGTCGCGCTCTGGGCTCTCACTTCGTCGAGCCGCCCTAGCGGCCCCAACGCCCTAGCGGCCTCGCAGCCCGTCGATTCGGCCCCGCAGCCCTTCACTGCGGCCCCACCGCCCTTCACTGCGGCCCCGCCGCCCTTCACTGCGGCCCCGCCGCCCGTCTCAGCGGCCCCGCCGCCCTTTGCTGCGGCCCCGCCGCCTCTCTCGCTGCGGCCCCGCCGCCCTTCTCAGCGGCCCCGCCGCCCTTTGCTGCGGCCCCGCCGCCCGTCTCAGCGGCCCCGCTGCCCTTCGCTCCGGCCCCGCCGCCCTTCGCTGTGGCCCCGCCGCCTCACATTGCAGCCCCGCCGCCCTTCCCTGCGGCCCCGCCGCCTCACACTGAGGCCCCGCCGCCCGTCTCAGCGGCCCCGCCGCCCTTCGCTGCGGCCCCGCCGCCTCTCTCGCTGCGGCCCCGCCGCCCTTCTCAGCGGCCCCGCCACCCTTCTCAGCGGCCCCGCCGCCCTTCTCAGCGGCCCCACCGCCCTTCTCAGCGGCCCCGCCGCCCTTCTCTGCGGCCCCGCCGCCTC